TCCTTTATTTTGTTGCTAGAAGGTTATTTGGGGATAGTTTCAGGTAGCGTTGAAATTGTGTCTCCAGGTAATACTGGTTTTATCGTAATGCAATGCCTTTTGCAACTAAGAGGACTACCCCTATGTCTGAGTATATTTTATGCCTAAGGTTGAGTAAGCTTTCTCACAACTGCTCATTTATATTCAACATTTCTTAATTATGCTAATTTTTCCATCTTCTTCAGTGTCTAGAGCATTTTTGTGAAATCTGTTTTAACATCTTTTCTAATGATTTTAAAGAGTCCTCATGGTGCACTGGTTAAGTGCTCAGCTAATACCAAAATATTGGCGGTTCAAACCCATAGCCCATCCTTGGGAGAAAGCCGTGGCAGTCTGCTTCCTTAACAATTTACAGCTTTGGAAAATCCTGTGGGCAGTTCTCCCCTGTCCTAGAGGGTTGCTATGAATTATAGGTGACTCTGGCAGTAGCTTTTTTTATTTTGTTTTTGGTTGTTGTTTGTTTCTACTAATTTTATAATTTGTGTAATCTGGGTCTGTTTCTTTTGAATTTTTCTGTTAGTTATGGGTTATCTTTTCCTGCTCAGTTGTCATCTGCGATTGCTTGAAGGATGGAGTCTTTTATAGATTAACTGGAAGACCCCATCCCTAGACAATGTCTGCCAAGAAGATCTTCCTTCGTATGCATTCTGATGGACTCTAACTCAGTTGTGGTTCTTTGTGCTCTCCTCTTGCAGGCTCACCTTTGAGAAGCTCGTACAGCCTAGTGGCTCATGATTTAGTATGTTACCAGTGTCTGAGTTATAGGTTAATTCACCTACCCTAACTGTGTAACTGCCTTAGCTGATTTCCTTAGTGCCACTTGAAGGTGTTGTCTGTGGTTTGCTTTTATCAACAGGAGTGGAAGGCAAGAATGAGATTAATCAACAGTTCAGTCTAGAATCTACGGAACTTGAAGAACTTACCCCAGGAAAGTACTCCATTGCTGTGTCCCTTTATCTCGTATCCAGAAAAACCCACTGAAGATGAAGTTGGAAGCCCTGAAGGGACAGTAACAGGGGGAACTTCTACTTGCAACAGAAGATTCATAAGCCTTTTAGTTACCATGGAAAACCATACTCCATTAGTAGACCTTTCTCAGTGTTTAGGAACCAAAACACTTTCTGAAATTCTTGAATTTCCCTGTGAAGAAGTCAAAAAGTAACAAATTCCTGAATGTGATCAAAGCACCAGTGAAAATCCAGACCTTGCTTTACATCCAAGAAACCATTCAGCAGGGAAAAATTATAGATGTGGTGACTATGGGAGAACTTCAGTCATAGAACCAACTTGAGGACGCGTAGGAGACTCCATGCTGGAGAAAAACCTTATAAACGTACTGAGTGTGGCACCTGCTTCCGTCAGCACCCACATGAATGTTCACCTCGAGAAAAAACCCTCTACCTGTGGGATATGTGGGGAAGGTTTTATGTGGCTCCCAAGGTTGGAACAGCACCGGAAAACCCACATTACACAAAAATCCTGTGAACATGCTGCGGTAAATACTTTGGTCAGGAAGGAAATCTCCCTTCCCAGGAGAACACACACACCTCAGCAGCACACTACCAGAGTGTGAGCAGTGGGAGCAGCCCTCACACTTTGCCCTCCCAAGAAGGGTGAGGAAGCGAAGGAAAGAGATTCTGAACAATCCAGTGATCAAGGGGAGAACTTACCGTCACACTCAAGATGCAAATCCTTAGCATGTCCTGATCACACTCAAAATGCAAACCCTTAGCATGTCCTGATCACACTCAAAATGCAAACCCTTAGCATGTCCTGATCACACTCAAAATGCAAACCCTTATCATGTCCTGATCACACTCAAAATGCAAACCCTTAGCATGTCCTGATCACACTCAAAATGCAAACCCTTAGCATGTCCTGAATGTGACGCCACCTTCCAGCTTCTCCCTGACCTTATTTCCCACCCGAACGTTCATATGGGAAGAAAACATCGTAAATGCAAAACACAAGCAAAACGCTTCATTTTGGAATCAGAACTGGCATGCTGCCAGGAAAACCTGGCAGGAGAGAAACCTTCCAAGTGTACTGTGTGGGGGAGATGGTTCAGGTTGAATATGTATCTCGTTCGCCATCAGCAAGCCCATATGAAAAGGGCCATGTACCTAGAACACATTTTTCATAATGCTTGTGCTTGTCAGTATTCATTTAGTGCCCGGCACTATGCTAAAGCACTTTGTATTTCACATGTTTTAATGTGTCTTTTATTACTAAGGAAACAGTGAATCTATGATAACTCAAGCCATTCCAATTCCATTTTTATAACCTTGGGAGAATTTTTTAGTTTCTGGTCTGTTTATATTAAAATGAATGCTAACATTATCATTCTTTTAATTTTATTTAAAGTAAACTTGCATGGGATGCAGGGGTATGGGAAAATTACTATTTTTTTTACTAGTTCTGCAGGGAGAATACCCTGAGAGTAAATAATTTTATATTTGCTTTTTGCTATGATTTTTAGCATTTCTTTGAAATTAATATTGTTCTACATGCAAATTTCTAGAGAAGTTTAGAAGCATTTTCTTTCTCCCTGTGAAACGTTCCCAAGTGAGCGGATTTGTTAAGTGTCCTGGTGGTTGTTAATATGCATGGAATTCCTGTTTTGTGATTCATTCATTTGCAGAGTGTTTTTCAGTCTGACTACAGCCTTTTTCTAGTACTTGGACCTGGGGAGGTGTTGTTATATCCAGTTTTTCTAAGATGATCCTCATAAGGTGATTTGCTTCCATGGCTCTACTGAAGCATATTCTGTCTTGCCTTGAGTCCTAGTAACTATTCTTTAGTGAAAGGAACTCTGGTGGTACAATGATTAAATACTCCATTGCAAACTGAAAGTTTGGTGGTTCAAACCCACCAGCTACTAAGGAGAAAGATGTGGCAATCTTTCTGGAAAGATTAGAGCCTTGGGCACCTTTCAGGGCAGTTCTGCCCTGTCTTGTAGGGTGACTGTGAGTCAGTTGCCTTGGCAGTGGGTTCGTTGAAGTATACTCGTAGAGAAGAATTTATTCCCTACCTCAAGATAGACAGTCAGCCTCCCGGATGAGGCGTTCTTACTGTCAACCTTTTCATTTTCGCTGTTTCCTTTCTTTAGATTTTGGGAAAATTGTGACAAAAACTCAGTAACAGATGAGAAAGATGGTATTTTTATAGAAACACTGCCATACACTTGCGTGTAATCCAAATGGCTTTTTGTAACATTTAAAAAAGAAAAACCAACCCTAAGTGTCAGTTACTGTGAAGTAGGCACATTTCAGACATCGCCTTATTCGACTCTTGGACTTATGTGTTCTGGGATGTGACTCAAGTGGCTCTGAGCCCAGGGAGTGGGGAAGGAGGCTGTCAGCCAGTGAGGGCCATCCTTCCCCTGCGCTCTTGTAATTACAGTGCCAACTGATGGACGTAGAGTCCACAAGATGATCAGAAAGGACATCTATTTGTTAAACCTACCATGTTGGGTGCTGTTAACAAATACTGAATAGAGCTTATTGCTTTGCATTATTTGTTAATTATTGTCTGCAGCTTGGGCTGTGACATGCTATCAGAAGTGAAAGTTCTGGTTTCTTGAAACAGTGATAACAATGTGTATCCAACAAGTCTTTAGTGCAATTGCCGGAATGTCAAGTTCTGTTAAAACAGTTATTAACAATGAAACAACTATCCTAGGGTGATTCAGATATCATCAGTTTGCATTTTATAATCATTAAATTAAGGGATTTGGCTGTTATTCTCAAAGGATTTCCACTCTTTTAAAAGGGTTCTATGCACAGCTTTGTTGCTCCAGGTAATAGGCTTTTCATCTCTCTCCTAATGTAGAAAACGACTAACCCAAAAATGAAAACTGAAAATGTCACTCCACGACTTTTGACTCCTGGGATTCCCCTTCAGTGGCAGTGTTGTAATGACTGCAGCTTTTCCTCCAGGTAATCTCCCAGTTTGCCTCATATACGTACAAGAGGGGTGTGTGTGTGTAACGTTATCGTTTCTCTGAGTAAAGCGTATTTTGAATTGTTCGTTAGATTCATCCCTGTGGTTTTAGGAGAAAAGTGGATCTTTCCAACCCCATCCAACTATAGGTGTTGCTCTTTTATACTTGACATTCCTCCATGTGTTAACAGTTAAAGGAGTCTGTACATTTGTGGAAGCCTGAGAATATGCTGTGATCTCAGGTCTGGATACCTGAAAATAATAGGTTTGTATTTGTTTAATGTTTTAATCTTACTGGTTTTAGTACAGTCTCATCAGCTTTATGGATAGTGATTATGTCTGTCTAATGTGCAATTTGACATTTAATAAATGCTTTTTGTATAATGATAGTACTGAATTGAGTTGTGCTTTTTTCTTAGACTTAAGGGTTTTTTGATATATTTCTTTGGAATGCCCAAGAGTGACAGGTTGTGCCTGGGGAACAGTTGGTCAAATATATCAGTAATTTGAGAGATACGTGCTGGTCTAGGCACTGTTATTTCCTTTAGAACCTAAAGGGAAAATAATCTCTTGCAAAGGGAAAACCTCCCATTGTTTTAAAAGAACTGAGCACCTAGGAGAGTAGCTTCAGGAATTTGGGGAGCAGCTATGACTACAATGAAAAGAGGAGCAAATCCAAACCTGCCTCCCGAGGGTACCTGCAGATCATCTCTGGCTCACCCCAGGGTGAATCATCCTCTGGGATATAACTTAATTGTACCCATTGCCTCCACTCCTGCAGCCTCAAGTGATGCAGATAAAAAACGGCAATGATACCATTATCAAATGTTTGAAAATGTTAGGATGTGGAGATACTGGAAGCCCAGCCCCTGTTCTGCTGGGGGAATGTAAAATGGTACAGCCACTTCACAAAACATTCTGGTAGTGCCTCACAAAATGAAACAGTTACCATATGCCTCAGTGATTCCATCTGTAGGTGTATACCCAAGGGAAATAAAAACTCTCATCCACACAGCAACTTGTACACCAATATTTATAGCAGCATTATTTAGATAAGCAAAAGGTAGAAACCCAAATGTCCATCAGCTGATGAAGGGATAAACAAATACTCGTATAATGGAGTATTACTTGGCAATGAAAAGAAAATACCGATACAGACTTCAACAAGACTATAAACATTGACAACTTTATGCTAAGTGAAAAAGGAAGGTGTTGAGGGTAGTCTGGAATGGGGACTGACTGTCCATGACTACATGGTTTCTTTGTGAGCTGTGGAAAATGTCCTGAAATTCGATGGGGGTGGGTAAGCACGCTGAATACACTACCACCACTGGATAGACGTTTTATGCAATTTATGGGACCGATATCAATTAATTGACAAAAAATAGTATTTTAGAAGCAATCAGGACAAAATTCAACACGGTCCATGGGACGGTTACTAGGGAGTTGGTTCCTTTTGCTGGTAATAATATGTTAAGGTATAGATTTATGAAGTCTTTAGTTCCTGTAGACTGAAAAATGCTTTTCAGATAAATCTGTGAGGTCCAGATTCCCCACAGGTCCAGTGAGACTTCCCCTCTCCTCTCCATTTACCGGAGTCCACTCCAAAGACCAAATAACTTACACAGGACTACCACCATAAGGATAATTACTAGGTAGAGTCCAGAAAAGGTCACAAATAGAAGGGTTGCAATTATATTTTCTTATATTGGGGTGCAGCACATAGTTGCTGATTGCAAACCAGGTCAACATTCTGATGGAGTCCCACATTGGCAAAGGGAATCAAGGGGCCCCTATATTTGTAACAGTAAGTACATGTCTGTAAATGAAGCTCAGTACCCACGTGCCTACTTCCTTATTGGGTCCTACTCACCTAGAGCTGAGCCTTTTAGGGGCTAAAGTTAACACAGCTGGAAGGGAGGGAAAGGAGTGAGTCACATTTGAAGACCTACTGGAAATAGGAGTGATGTTTGGAATGGTGACTTTGTCACATTTACTCAAGGTCCAGGACTGAACAAGTACTCAACAACACTTAAGATTCAACAGGAGAAAACACTCAAGACGCCTTTATTCTTTTTCAAGAACTTCAAAACACATCGTGGAAGCAGAACTCTTATTTCAGGAAGAGTTCTTGCCTCCAACTCTTTTAAATAAGAAAAATGGGAATCTATGTTCCTTCCCTTTGGGGAAAGAACTTGAATTAAGCTAGATGTGGATTGTCTAACAGTAGTTAGGGAGGAGATCTTGGATGAGGCCACTGAGCTTGGCAGAGGTTTGGGCCTTCTGCATCTCAAGCGAAATGGGTCTGGAGGGGGAAGGAGGGTTCTCAATTACTGAACACCTACTTCTTTTGGCCTGGGACAGGCTAAGTCCAAAAGGTATAAATTATGAGAAAAAAGTTAAAGTCTTTAAACAGTCTTTTATAGCATATGGTAGGATTTCTCACCTCTCAATAACATCTGTCTCTTGGCTGGAGTTGTGTGGACTTTCTAAATGAAAGATGCTTTAATATAAAAAAGATCATATGCATATATAAATATATGTCTATACATACATTTTTAATAATTTTTTATAAATGTACCTATTAGTTATTTGGAAACAAAAACATGACACACTCATTTAATGTAATCCTTTGTGTGAGCAGTCAGGAGTTCTATCGGGAGTTACACTCCAATTAACTGTTGCTTCGAAGTGCTGGTGGATCACTCAACTTTACTGAAGAAGTATGAGCATGGTAAAAGACTGGTGTGATAGCAACTGCACTACTATGTGTAGAATTATCCTTTAGCCTTTTTTAGAGGATAAAGCAAAAGGGAGAATATTTAACAGTAAGAGGAGCAGGATCATCCTGTCTCTTCCACGGTATTTACTCCCATCTTTCCAACAGAGATTGTAGTTCTCCTTGACCCAATGCACAAACCTGCCACCTCTTTACCCTTGACACTGTGTTTGGGTAAGTCCCTGTCAGCCTCTTCTGGGTCTCCTCCCCTAGCCAAATACATACCATCACGTCCTCAGGGACCTCTTTCTTGTAAGTCACATAGTCTTAGTGATTTACATGCAAGAAGAGGAAGGAGAAGTACGGAGCCCTTCCTTTTCAGTATAAAGGCTGACGCTCCTCTTTTATACTCCATGGTGAAGTCTTTGATGCTTGTGAAGGTTTGACTTCTGGCGAAAGCTTTTCCCACACAGGTCACAATGAAAAGGCTTCTCTCCAGTATGGATCCTTTGATGTAGTTGCAGGGTTGACTGCCGCCCAAAGCGGTTTCCACACACTTCACACGTATAGGGTCTTTCCCCTGTGTGGACTCTCTTGTGTCTTTCTAACTCTGAATTAAACGAGAAGCTTTTCCCACAGTGATCACATTTATACGCTTTCTTCGGGTGCCCAAGATGTTCCAAATGATTGCTTTTCTTCATCTCCCTCAGTAGGTGAGTTTTTATGGGGGTGCTAATATACTCCAGTTGCCTGCAATGTGTCTGGTGGTGAGTGAATGGCTTTTGACCATTGGTGGGGCTGACATGTCTTGGTGATAACCGGAGTTCACTTATATTCACCACTCTAGATTCAGGACTCTGTAGACCATTCCCTTTGGATCTGTCAGCTGAGACTGCACAAGGCTTTGTTCCTTTAGTCCCTTCCTGTTGTGGATTCTCCTTGTTGTCATTTCTCATTCTCGTGGCCTCTATAATTAGAAAAAATATGTTCTATTTTCTGGGCTTTGAAGAAAGAACCTCAGCAGAAGAGATAATATATTACAGTATTTCTCTAAGTGTGGTCCTCTATTGGCCATCTTTATGAGACTCAACTGGGGTACCAATTAAGCAAATAGGCTCCCTGGCCTTCCCCCAAAAATCTCTTGGGGGATGGAGGGAAGACCTGGAAATCTACACCATAAACAAACTGCTGGAGTGATTATGATTTATATTAAAGTTAAAAAAGAAGTTTTCCCACCATACTCTTTCCTACCTTTAGGAAAAGTTTAGAAATGGAGGAACATGGTAAAGAAAATCCATCAGAACTCATTATCAATGAAAGAACGTTGAAATTTTAAAATTACAATTTGTTGTACTTGTTATTTTAACAAACATCCATATGGGCAGGGATTGCCAACCCTTTTTCTCTTCAAAGGATGGTAAATTACGTGACTGGTGTTTCATTCATTACAAAGTTAAGAACACATGTGCTTGGAAGCCAGAAAATGGGCTGCACAGGTATTCTAATTACAGACTTCTTTACCTTCTGACTCCCGGGGTGCAGGGTCAGCAGGTGGAAGATCTACAGTAGCACTGCTCAGCAGGGCTTCTTTCAATGTGAAAATGGGTATGGGAGTGTATGTGTTGTTTAATATGGCAGCTAGTCATCATACATGATATCTGGAGTACGTGAACTGTGGCTCGTGTGACTGAAGATCTCAATTTGATTTGACTTTAATTAAATTGAAATAGCCAATCCATACGTCTATGTTCAATTAATTTTTGACAAGGGTGCCAAGGCAATGCAATGGAATATTCACACACAAAGGAGTGAATTTCAACCCCTATCTCACAGCTTAGTATTAGAAAATAATAACTCAAAATGAATTAAGGACCTAAAGGCAAGGGCTGTCACAAAAGGACAAATAGTGTATGATCTCATTTTTATGAAAGAAGGAAATATACAGAAACCAAGGATGATTCACAGTTATCAAAAGTGGGTGGAGTCGTTAATTGAAGTGTTGATTACAGAAGAAGTACGGTGGGTTACTTCTTGGGCTGCTAACCACAGGTCGGCAGTTCGAGCCCATCAGCAGCTCTTCACATGGCAGATGAGGCATTCTGCTGTTGTAAAGATTTATAGCCTTGGAAACCAAAAGGCAGCTTTGCTTTGTCCTGCAGGGTTACTATAAGTTAGAATCAACTTGATGACAATAAGTTTAGGAGAAAAGAGAAAGAAAGAGTATTTGCACAGGGGGCACTGAAGTTATGGTTAACGGAGGTAAATAATTTGGCAAAGGATAATCAGAATGGTTGTACAATTTGAAGAACGCAATCAGTGTTACGGAATTGTGTAGAAATTGTTAAGATGGTATATGTTATGTACATTGACACCACAATTCAAAACCAAACCAAACCTCTACAACACAAATTTTGATAGTAGCATTATTATTAATAGCCCCAAACTGGAAATAAGCCAAGTGTCTACCAACTTATGTGGAAAAACAAAATCTGGTATATTCAAATGATGAAATAATAATAAAAATACTAATTTTGACTTCAACATAGATGAGTCTTGCAAACATTAAGTATAAGAAGCCAATCACAAAGGATTGCATATTATATAATCTATTTATATGAAATGCCCAGAATATGCATACAACCATGGAAAGTTTCCCAAGGCTTCTGGACAAGGGACTAGAAAGTGACTTGCTGGTGAGTATGGGTTTCTTTTGGAGTGATACAAAATGTTTGGAATTAGTGGTGATGTTTACATAACTTTATGACCATTCTAAAAACCACTAAATTATACACTTTAAAAGGGTGAATTTTAAAGCATGTTAATGATATTTTAGTAGTAAAAACTTAAACAGCCTTATATGGCTAGTGGCGACGACTGAACACTGAAGCTCTAGAACACCTGGTAGATTTTCAAGATGGGAAGACGGTAATCTACCCTCTCAGCAATCACACGGGCTCACACACCTAGATGTCTCTGCTGAGGCAGAAGTGATGCGTGTGGTCCACTTTGTTTGGACCACGACGGCTCTAGCTTATGGGGCAGAGACCTCATAAACTTCTGTTGCTATCCTGGGCCAAGTCCCCTTCCTGAATTCCATCATGTTTCATTGATTGTAACATATTTAAGGGAACAAGGCTCTAGTCTTATAAACCTCTGCTCTAACTTGTTGATTGCATCCTGCATTTACAGGAGCAAGATTGACGAAATTCACTTTCATTGTACAGAATGGGGCCAATACTTACATCTGGACAGATAGGGTAATAGAAGAGGTGGTGGTGGTAGAAGATAGCAGAAAGTGTGGGCTCTTTCTCTAAAAGGAAGTGTCTAGTGACCTATTCATGGGGCCATTATATGAGATGAAACTCAGCCACAGTTCATCAGTGGTCACTGTGTTCATATTTGGATCTATCTTCACTACAAAAAAAAAACTTTAAAAGGAACAAACAAGTAGGTACTGGAATAATCCTGTTGTGCATTTGGTTGCCAAATACTCATCCATACTTATTTATATTCTCACCATTATTTGAATTAGATTTAAAAATAGATCTATGATCACATGCATCATTAAAACACACACATACATCTGGACTAGCTTTTTGGAATCATGAGGTACTCTGATATATATAAAGGCCAATGAGAAGGCAAGAATGGGTACAAAGTGTTTACCTGTCTCATCCAATTTAGGGACTTCATCCTGGAGGAGCTGGGATTTCTCCCCGTGATGTTGACTCAGCTGGTCCTGAGGTTCTGCCTCAGAAGACTCCTCCAGAAAGTCTGGCAATTCCTGTTCTCCTAGTTGAGCTCCAGTTTTCTCCAAGAGTACCTTCTGCCCCTGCATACAGACGGCCACCTAGGGACAAATCCCATCAGGTCTATAAGAACTCAGGCTAAGGACTGGCTGAGGGCAGCTTTACCTCGCTTTGCTCCATGATGAGCCTGCTACCTTGAGAATTACTGATACAAGCCTGGAGGTCAGCTCTGTTAGAGAAAATCGACCCCTTTCAAGGAAGGAAAAGGAAGGACATGCAGAATGAGACTGCTATAAACCGGCTAGCATGGTGTTTCCAGGGTGGCTGTCCCTAAAGCTTGGCCCCTTCTCACTGCCTGGAATTTTCAGGAATCAGAGGAAAATTAGAACAAAGACACAGGGGTCAGTCATGACCCTGGCACATCAGAATCCCACCCTGCACTCTCTCCTCTCCTAGTAGGAATGGTAACCAGTATGATGAGGTGGTATTTTAAACCATTTACCTAATAAACTGTTCTGCAAAGGCTGAGATCCTGGTCAGGAGATCCCAGCAGTAGCAGACTCAAAAGAAGATTGCCCCATACCCATTCCTTAACCTCCCTCATTTTCCAAAACATATGGTCATTTACATCCTGCTCAGGTCCTGACTTGGGTCTGACTTTGGGGGCTGGTGCAGGTAAAAAGGGATAGCAACACTGGCCAGTGAAGCTGTAACTTCCTGATCCAAAGGCTAAGAACTCTGATTATGGAAAACTTCGAGAGGAAGTGAGGGCGGAGTTGACAGCTGAGATACACGAGCTTTCAAACTTGTCTCAGTGGGCACGAGGTCTTTTGAAGACCTGCGAGGGCTCTCATGAGGCCTTGGCTTCCTCTCTGGAGTGCCAGTGGCTGCATTTGCTGAACCCCCGTCACAACGGGCTGGGGGTTCCTAGACTGAGGCGGAGCCACTTCCGAAGTCATCTAGTCCATTTTTAGACTGTGTCCACCTGGGAGGGGAGGAAGGGTGGCCCTGGGGCCCAACGCTATCCAGAGGAAGAAGAGATGCTGGGGGACGGAGAGAGGAGCTCTTCCTTACCCACTGCTTTGGTCTCTTGGAGGCTCTGTGAAACTCTTCCACCAGGTCCACCATCTCCTGGCTGTTCGAGGGAGCTCTTTTCCTGACCCACGTCTGGATCTCCGGCGGCAGGATGACCAGGAACTGCTCCAGCACCAGAAGCTCCAGGATGCGCTCCTTCGTGTGCAGCTCCGGCTGCAGCCAGTCCCGGCAGAGCTGTTCAAGGCGGCACAGCGCCTCCTTGGGTCCAGACACCTCTTGATAACAAAGCTGTCTGAAGCGTTGGCGGGAGAGCTCAGGATCCGGGCAGGTACTCTGCAGCGGAGGTTCCCGTCTCTCTTCCAGCTTTGCTATTATGTGCCGCTCTTGTTCTGGGGAATCTGGCGAGTGGGGCTGCAAGCTCAAAGTTATCTCCATTTTAGCCGCCATTTGGGGTATCTAACAGAACAGCTGGAGTCTCTGTTGGAATGAAGAGAGATTTATTAAAGGATATGACAATACTACTTCATGCACATCAAAAGACTTCCCCAAAAGAGAATGTACAGACTGAGGAAACAAATAGTTGGCAACAATCTGACAAGGGACTAATCTCTAAACCAAGCTCTAAAATGGCCATTGGAGAGATGCAAATGAAACAGCAACGAGATACCATCTTACCCCAGCAATAAAGACAAAATTCAATTAAGTCAGAAAACAACAAATGCCTCATCCCCTGCTGGTGGGACGCTGTACATTAATGCAAATACAGTAGAAAATAGTACGTTGTTTCCTTAAACAGAAATAGAAATATGGTTTTATCCAGCAATCTGACTACTAGGCATATATCCTAGAGAGATAAGAGCCATGAATAGATATACTGTATGTACCGCCTGTGTTCATTGCAGCATTACTCACAAAAGCAAAGAGAAGGAAACAATGTGTCATCAATGGATAAACATACTGGTGAATTAACACACACAAAGGAATTCTATGAAATGTTACATGCTAACAAGGAATCTGCAAAACACCTCAGAATGTGCATGAACATGGAGGACATTAAGCTAAGTGAAATAATTGCAAAAGGAAAAATTATGTTTTGAGTCCACAATTATAAAAAGTCAAGGAAAGGCTGACATACAGAAAGAAACAGTCTTTGTTGATTACCAGGGATGGGAGGTAAAATCACTAACTAGATAATAGATAGACATATTCATGGGAGTAAAGGGAAAGGCAATATACAACAAGGGGATGATCATCCCAATATCCCTAATGCAAAATAAGCTGTGAGGTGCTTAAGAGTGACCGGCAATAAAGTTAAACACTATTACACACACAGACCTGCAACATCAATAATAACATACAGTAATCTGAGTGGATATGCAGGCAGACAGACAAGCTGAACAAGGATGGGTAGGCTTACAGGACAACACCCATGATTTGGCAGAGGATATTTCCACAAACTTGTATGTCCTATAAACATATCCATGCATGTAGTAATCAAGAGACAAAAGTATGAAAACTTATCCATAATCGAACACCACTGGGCTTGGGAGCTTAAGAATACAGTCTTGGAGGGCAGCTAAGTCACCTGGCATAGCAGTTCACATCCATAAAGCTCTCCATCCTATCATGGTTAGTGATTAGGGCCTTAAATGCTAGAGAACAGCCATCTAAAATGTTATTGGCCTCTCCCTGACTGACCAAAGAAGAAGAAACTTCAGACACATGGAAATAGTCCAAAGGCCTAATAGACCACACAAACCTCAGCCTCCTCTACTGTGAGACCAGAAGACCAGAACTAGATGGTGCCCTGCCACCACGATAAACCACTTAGAGATCATTGATTAGAAAATCCTTGCTAAGAGTGGAAGGAAAATATGGAACAAAGCTCGAAATCATAAAAGAGACCATATTACTAGTCTGACAGAGACTGGAAGAACCCCCAAAATCCTTACTCACCCGTCCAGCCTGGAACTGCACTCAATCCCATGGCTCAGCTTTTAGTCAAACAACAGAATGGCCATCTTACTTACGGTATGTACTCCTTAGAACAATCAAACCCTATGTGATCAAAAGGGCAGAACATGCCCAGGGATAAAGCCCAGAAGACAGGAAGTGATAAAAGGATAAATGGAAACAGGACTGGCAGGGAGGAAGTGGGAAGAGGGGTGTTACACTGTGGAGCTTGCCATCAGGGTCATGAAACAAAACGTTATGGATTGTTTGATGGAAAATCTCTTTTCTCTATAACCTTCACACATATCACAATAAAAAGTTAAAATAAATAAAGGTTATATTAACTGCAGTGGGGCAACAATTTGCAATTACAAATTGCTCCGAGTACAGAAAATGAGAAAGGGTTTTAATAGCAGTTTAGAGAAATGGCAACCATTACTCATACATCAGTGACTATATGTCAGTTAATGTATAGGCATCCTGTCTAGAGCTAGTCCATGTATCTATTGGGGGGGGGGGGGAAGCTTCCACTTATCTTTCAAGAAAGGGCAGCTTTTACAAAAACGTTCTGAGAGCACCTGCAGTACTTCCCTTCCTCCCTCAATCAGAATCGATTAGCTCATTAGTGTGAGTGTCCCTCCAATGCCTCTTGTTTTTCAAATCTGTTAGCACATTATGGAGTTTGCCCTGCACCCCATGTAGAAACCTCTCCTATGTCCAGCACCTACATTTTGGGGGCTCTTGCACAGACTATAAGGAGCCCTGGTGGTGTCGTAGTTATTATAATTGGGCTGCCAAGCCCAAGGTCGGTAGTTTGAAACCACCAGCCACTCTGCCGGGCAAAGATGAGGCTTTCTACTCCCTCGCTATGAATCTGAATCGACTGCATGGCAGTAAATTTATAGAATTACTGGCATAGACTTTGTTCTTGGCAACAGCTCAGACGTCCTGGATCATGACCCTGGAGAAGCCTTTCTGAATGCCATCCCCACCCCTAGAAAGGATGCTCCTTGGAGAAGAAGCGCACCCAGTCAGAGAGCAGGAGGCGGGGATGGGCGAGGGTGTCTTCTGTTTTCTCAGCGTTTACCCCAACTCCTGAAGACAGCACAGGGCTTCAAAGACGAAAGAGCTTGTCTTTCCACCAGATTCTGAAACAGTCTCTCAAGGAAGAAAAGTGAGACGTCCTGGTAGGTCCCTGGGGCCAGTGGATGGAGAACCGGATGGGGAACACTGCTTTTGACTCAGTAGTACAGAAGGTCCCAAAGGAGTTGACAAGAATCTCTTGAAAAAGTTCAGTTCGGTACCCAGGTGGCGCGCCCGCTACTCTCCGGTATCCTGGCTCAAATGGACCTCGAGCATCTCTCGGGGCGCTCACAGGTAAAGCCAAGGAGGGCAACCGCGCAACCCGGGCGTTGAGACCAACGGGAGGAGCCTGCTGGCTGGCAAGACAGAAGGAGCGCGCGCGGCTGGCAGTTGCCGAGGCTCCGCAGGCCCAGCCGGAGGCCTCCCAGGGCGCCCGCTCCGCTCCGCTCGACGGCCTCGGGTTTGACGTAGCTATGGCAACCCGGCGCGTGACTGCTTTACGTGCGGGAGACCCCGCTGGCGCTGGTGCCTGCGACAACACAACGCCCCGCGCCCACCTCAAGAGGACTCACCTCTCAGGGGGAATCAGGGACCCGGAAGCCAGGCGCAAACCGGGGGGCGGAGCCGAAGCCGTTAGTCACGGAGACACACCAGCGGCCCGGGAAGCTCCTCGGGATAGGGTCCGCTTTCCCGCTGGAGAGACTGGCTTCACGAAGGCCCCTCCTCAGGCTGTTTCCTTTGTCCATTGGCTGCGGAATCGGTCCATATTAGCGGGGAGCGGGGCTGCGTTCAGCCGCAGCAGTGCATCTTGGGAGTTGTAGTCTCGGGCCGGCTTCCGCGCGTGCGTGTTCGGCAGACTTGCGCTGGGGCTGCGACACCCACTTCCGGCCAGCGGTCAGAGGAGTTTCTAGTGAGCGCTGAGCCCGTGAGTCACGCGCTTGCTCGTCTCCGACTCCAGGCTGTCTTCGCGCCGGCCCGGGACCTCTTTGCTGCTGGAAGCTTTTCAGTGGAGGTTAGGCCAGGTCCAGGGGGGCGGCTTGTTGTGACGGGCGGCCTCAGGACGAAGGGTGCCGGTCCGGACGCCCCTTGGGAACTTTCCGATTGCCAACCCCTCACCCCGAGCCGGCCCAGGGCAGGGCCCCCCACCTGGAGGTTGACTCCTGGACTCGCTCTCACCGTGACCCCACTCATCCCCCCCCCCCCCCCCCCCCCCCCCACCCCAAGTACGGAAACTTCGCGGGGTTTTTCACTCCACCCAATCGCAGTACCTAACGTTAGTTCCAAGTGCATTGTAAACAACAACGTCCACGGCCCTGGACTGCTTTGGACGCAATAGGACTGCCTCGGGGCTTCAGGGTTGTGAATCATGACAGGTGCAAATCGCCAGGTCTTTTCTCCCTCGAAGTGGCTGGTGGGTTAGAACTGCTGACCTTCTGGTTAACAGCCAAGCACTCAATATGCCCATAAAATCAAGCTCAATGCCTCCGAGTCGATTTCCTCTGCGTACGACAGAGTAGAACTGCCCCCAGACGATTCCCAAGGCTGTGAATCTATGTCAGCAGCGTCATCTTTCTCCCACTGATTGGCTGGTGAGTGAACTTCCGACTTTTGGGTTAGTAACCTGCGCTTAATCACTGTGGTTGTGGTAGGCGCCATCGAGTTGGTTCCAATTCACAGTGAGCCTGTGCACAACCGAAGGACTGGGACTGAAATCTGATCCGTGTAACTTCGTCTATGTTAGGAGAATGGAGCTGGAAGTAACCTGAAGGCTCTCTTTTGAGAACTTTGGTGGGAAGAAATTATGACGTGTGGAAAGACTAGAGTTGGGTGGTGATAGGGGTGATTGAAGAGTCAACTGACTTATTTTATGATGGAAATATAATATACTTCGAATGACATACTTTGTTTAGATGTAATGTAGCTAGAAATGCTCCAAAGCTATGATCCTGAGCCATACTCCTCTAACTCAGAGTATCCTGTGACAGTGGCCAGGCACGGATTCTTACAGGTACTGGCCAAGCCAATGCCCCAATTCTTATCTGATAGTTAGAAATCTCCCAGGCTCCTCCTTTCACTAAGGGCTAGAACCTGCCCACCCAGGCTGTCACTTGGAGATTTAGGGTCCCTAAGGTATGGAAGCTCTGTTACATAAGATCTTTGTTTAAATAAAGTTTTGTATACCCAGTTAGTGTCTGTCATTCCAAGATTTGAGTTTTGGGGAAAAAAACACCCCAAAACAACTATTTCACTCAGCCTTATATTAACCCTGTGAGAACAGAAAGATGGGGAGACAGACATTTGGAGGAAGGTTCCCCGTTCTCCTTTTTCATGCATGTGAAAATAAAACATGGAATATATATATATAATTAAAAGATCATTTTATTGGGGACTCTTGCAACTCTTGTTACAGTTCATACATTGATTGCACCAGTTATGTTTGTACATATGTTGCCTTCATTTCTAGACACTTAGTTTTTAAAAAAAGCATTTATTGGGGGCTCGTACAATTCTTATCACAATCCATCCATTGTGTCAAGCACATTTGTACATTTGTTGCCATCATCATTCTCATAGCCATTTACTTTCTATTGAGACCTTGATATTAGCTCCTCATTCTGCTCCCCTCCCCATGCCCCTTGGTAGATTATAAATTATTATCATTTTCATTTCTTACACTGACCACTGTTCCTCTCCCTAGACAGGGGTCTATGGTTATGTGTCAATCATTGCAATCAGTTCCTCCTTTCTCCCTTCCTCTCCCCATATTTATCCCTACCCTTCTGATATGGCTGTTCCCACTCCTGTACCTGGATTCCATGTATAATGAGCCCCATCTCTTTTCTGTACCTGTGTACATGTTCCAGTCTAGTCTGAATTGAGAAGCATTACTGGGGTCATGATAGTGGGGCGTGAGGAAGCCTCAAGGACCCAGAGGAATGTTGTGTGTTTCATCAATGCTTTACCTGCACCCTGGTTGACTCATCCCTTCCTTGTGGTCCCTCTGTGGGGGGATTGTTCCATTGTCTACAGATGGGCTTTGGGTCTCTGCTTCAGCCCCCTCATTCTCAACAATATCATTTTGTTTGTTTGTTTGTTATGTGCCTTCTGATGCTTATTAACCGGTCCTGATGACTCCTTGTGATCACACCGACAGTGTGCTTCTTTCATGTGGGCTTGTTGCTTCTCTGCTGAATGGTCGCTTGTTTAACTTCAAGCCTTTAAGATCCCAGATGCTATATCTTTTAATAACCAGGCACCATCTGCATTCTTCACCAGATTTGCTTATGCACCCGTTCTGTCTTCAGCAATTGTGTCGGGGAGGGTGAGCATCTCAGAATGCCGATTTGTTAGAACAAAGTGTTCTTGTATTGAGAGAGGGTATGAACAAAGGGCCAAAGTCCATCCACTACCACAGTGTAGTATAAATATATGCACATAGGCCAATACCTCTATTTTTGTGGATAAATAGATTTACATATGTACACATCTATGCTTTTACCTCTATCCATTGCTTTGCTTCCTAGGTCCTTCCTCTGCCTCCTTTTAAACACTTAGAATATTTTGAATCCACCTGGTTTCTGTGATCTGGCAACAGTGACTGGGCAGTGAGGGCCCTCTTGGTGCCCACCCTACAACAGTGGGTGTGGGTCTGGACTCAGCAGGTGGTAGCTTACTTGGTGCCCTAAGTCTGTGGCTGCAATGGGTGGGATCCATGTACTCTCCCCTAGGCTGTGGGGGAACAAGTGGTACAGAGGATGTGCTGTTGTTAGGTGCCGTTGAGGCGGTTCCAACCCATAGGGACCCTATGTACAACAGAAAGAAACACTGGCTAGTCTAGTCCTGCATCATCCTCACAATTGTTTCTATGCACCTCGTGGCAGCTACTGTGCCAATCCATCTCCTTGAATACCGCCCCCCCCCCAGTCCCTCCACTTTACCAAGCATTATGTCCTTGTCCAAGGACAGCTCTCTCCTGACATTATGTCCAAAGTATGTAAGACAAAGTATTGCTATTGCCTCTAGGGAGCACTCTAGCCATACTTCTTCCAAGACAGACCAGTTTGCCCTTTTAGCACTCCATGATACTTTCAGTATTCTCTAGCACCACAATTCAAATATATCAATTCTTTGGCCTTCTTTATCCAGTGCCCAACTTTCACATGCAAGTGAGGCAATGGAAAATACCATGGCTTTACCTCAGTCCTCAAAGTAGCATCCCAACTTTTCTTTTTTTTTTTTTTTTAAAATTTTATTAGGGGCTCATACAACTGTTATCCCAATCCATACATACATCAATTGTGACTTTGTGCTCCATGATACTTTCAGTATTCTCTAGCACCACAATTCAAATATATCAATTCTTTGGCCTTCTTTATCCAGTGCCCAACATTCACATGCAAGTGAGGCAATGGAAAATACCATGGCTTTACCTCAGTCCTCAAAGTAGCATCCCAACTTTTCTTTTTTTTTTTTTTTTAACATTTTATTAGGGGCTCATACAACTGTTATCCCAATCCATACACACATCAATTGTGTAAAGTGCATTTGTACATCGTTTCTCAAAACATTTTCTCTCCACTTAAACCCCCGACATTAGGTCCTCATTTTTCCCCTCCCTCCCCGCTCCCCTC